TTTGCCTTGCAAAGCTGGTGCAGCTGGAACTCTCTCTCTCTCAACACACACCCACACCCCTGCCATTTGCCTTGCAGCTGTCGGAGACCACTGCCGAATCCCACCTGATGGAGAAGGAACTGGATGAGCTGAAGAGTCTCGGCCCGAGGAGGAAGTGAAGACCGCACGTGATTCATCAGCAGAGGGGGAGAAGCCCGCTGAGCAGGGACAGGGATGCGTCTGGGGTGGGGTTTCATCCAGGAGCAGGTCCTGGGAGTGAGAGCATCCTATAATAGGAGTCAGAAGGCACCGCACCCTCGGGCTGCCAGCAGGAAAGCGACAGCTTGCTGGAGGAAGCCGACGTGCAGGCCCAGCGCAGCCGGCAGGGTGTCCTTGGGGGCCGTGTAGGGTGCGGGTCTGTGAACCACATGTCGGGAGTGTCCGTGGTGATGCTGAGCCTGTGGGTCCTCGCCAGATTCACCCTCAGTGGACACTGTGGACAGAAGCACTTGGACTCATCACCCCTTATGCTGATGTTTGGGGTGGGTCTCCAAAGGGCATTGCTCCCCATTCTCTGTCCTTCAGGCCACCCTCTCCTGGTATTGAAGGGCACTCGGGCCGCAAACCCACAACCTCCCGAGACTCTTGCATCTCAGCAAGGCACCAGCAACACTATATTTTTTTTTGTGCTTTCTTGTTTACATGATTTATTTTTTATTAAATGATGTCAAATCCCTCAGTTGCCAGAGTGAATAGAAAAAGGCATTTCTGCGCGTGAACACTGATCTCTCGTTGCTTCAGATAGAGGCAGAATTTCACGATTGTGGGGAAATGTCACCCCTTTAGAATATCTCAGCATCCTGGGCCACGACAGAGGCCGACCCGAAACAGAAACAGGCACTGTCTCCCCTGCCGCCTCCTTCAGGAACCTGGAACTGGGCCTGGCCTGGTGACCAAGTGGCTGGGGTGGGGGGAGCTGGACCCTTCCATTGGAGGTTTTGTGCCTGGATCTGTGTGAATGGACTTTCTTGGTCATTGAGGTGGGGGTCAACCAAAGTTCGGATGAGGGGTCCAGCTCCCAGAATCGGGGTGGGAGTGGACACCAAGGGTGAGGAATGGGAGTGTGCCTGATTTCACAGCCCATGGGGAAGAAAAGGAGCTGGTGCAGCCTCAGGCACAGCCCAGGGTGCATCCTTCCTTCCAGGCTACCACAGGGTAGGCAGAAGGACAGTATCAATGGAGCCCCGCCCTTCCCATTCCTTTCTGATGCAGGAGAGAAAGCTTCATCTAGAAGACTGGGGAAGGATATGCAGGTGTAAGTCGAGGTGCAGTATGAAGAGCATTAGGGGAGCTCGGATGGAGGAGTCTGTAGCAAGCTGTTAACCCAGAGGCCGCCGCATTCTCTGAGAGTTCAAATCCACCAGCGACCACAGGGGAAATGAGTGAGCCCTCAGCTCCGGTGTAAGTTACAGCCTCAGGATCCCGCCGGCATCAGCTGTGGATCAGATTTGCCTTGACAGCGGTGAGGCAGAGGAGACCAGTGTTAACCCCAGTGCCCACGGCTCACAGTGATCCTGTACAGAGATGAACTGCCCAGACGGATTCTAAGGCCGCCCGCAGACGTCACAAAAGCAGGCTGCTCTCCCCACAGAGTAGGTGGGGAGTCCAAGCCGTCAGCGTTCCGATTAGCAGCCGAGAGCTTGAAACACTGTGCCACCAGGGCTCCCCCCACCCCACCCCGAGGCATTTTAAGAAGGTGCTTATTCCTAGAACAGCAGCGTGGACGGGCACTTACTGAGCACCATCCTGATTCCAGACCCTGATTTCCAGTTCGCAGAAAAGTCTTTGGTTTGTCATCATCCTCAGCCGGAGAAGCGGGCCCAGTACGGGGGCGCCTGAGGAGAGGACTGTGCTTGGGGTCTCTCTGATGTGGCTCCCAGGGACCCCAAATATCGAGCACTGTTGGGCAGTAGAGAAGACAGACTAGCTTTTTTTTAAAAAAAAAAAAATACAGGGAAGTGAACTTTGGAGCAGAAGAATGGCATCAGACACTTGGAGTTTTGTTATTTTCAAGGATTCCCCTCTGTGCTGGGTGGTGAGGACAGACTCGGGCCACAAGGCTGGGACCAAGGAGGTGGCAGTTGAGTCAAGTCAGAACCAACCCAGAGCTGACCATCTTGTGTCCCTTCAAGTCATAATCCACGCATAGCTGACCCTCCAGCAGGTTTTCAGAGGCCGTGGATGGGAGGAGAGTGCCTATCTTTCTCGCAGGAAGCAGCTAGTGGATTCGAGCCGCTCACCTTTGCATTGGCAGCACAAACCCTTCCCACTAAAGCCACCAGAGCTCCCTGAACTGGCAATAGAGGGAGTGAAGCAGTCAGATTCCAGCTGTGGATTGAAAGCGGGGCCCTGTCCTGCGTGTTGATGGGTGGACAGGTGTGGGCTGTGAGACCAGCGAGGAGAATTCTGTCAATGAAAGTCTAACCCGATGGACAGTGGGTCTCCAGACCTCACTTCCCTGACCTTGTTCCACTGACGAAGCTTTTTGGCTGTTTTATTTTCCCTTGGAAATTCCATGTTCTTTCAAGACCTTCCTTTTTTACTCTTCCAGGTTCTGGCCAAAATTCCTCCCCAAATAACCTCTAAGCTTTCACTTTCCAGATCTGCTTACAGGGCACCCAAGTAAATATTAGTGGGTATTATCCTTGTCAACACACCACCACAAAAACTGGATGGTGGGAGCTCTGGTGGCCTAGTGGAAAGAAGCTGTACTGCAATCCCAAAGGTACACGGTTCAAATCCACCAGATGCTCTCCGGAGAAGGAGGGACAATTTCCTCCTGTACCAGTCAGATCTGATTTGATGGTACATGCACAAAAAATAATAAAAAAAAAAAAAAAGCCAAACTGGGTGGGGTTTCTGCCTAGTGTCAGACAAGGAAAAACTGTCTCCGAAGAGCTGACGGGGAGTTCCATGGGTGTGAGGACGGGGTGCCGGGGTGAGGATAGGGGTGCTGGGTGAGAACACGGATGCCAGGTGAGGAGGACGGGGCCGGGGTGAGGATGGGGTGCTGGGGTGAGGACAGGGTACCAGGGTGAAGACAGGGTGGTGTGAGGACAGGGGGCAGGGTGAGGATGGGGTGCCGGGTGAGGACAGGGGTGCCCGGGTGAGGACAGGGTGGTGTGAGGACAGGCGTGTTGGGGTGAGGACGGGTACTGACTCTGAGGCAGGGACCAGAGGAAGGGTCACAGTCCACGTCTTAGCAAGGGAGTCTTTGTGCACATGGACAGATGAGGACAAATGCATCTTTCTTATGGGAGAAGCTTATACTTTCCCAAGATTCTCAGAGGGATTCATCCCCTCCACTGACCTGAGGGTCCATGAAAGAGAGGAAGACCTTCAGTAAGATGGATTGGCACAGGTGGGCTTGAGCGGGGCTGGGGTCTTGAAGATGTATAGGTTATAGTCATCTCCGTGGCATCCCAGCTAGACCTCACCCACGTCTGATCAGGTAAGTCACAGGGGGAAGAGTCGGACAGGATAAGGAAGATGAAAGCGAATGATGCCTTTCCATCCCGGGGCTGGGGGAACATTGTGCCGCGTCTGTCCCGAATGAAAAGCAGCCAGTGCTTGTTGGAGTCAAGGGTGGGGAGACGGTGTCACATAATTCTAGGAATGCTGTTAGGGGGACTGGTGTCTGGAGAATTACCTCATCCTCAGTGAAGTAGCAGATCAGCAGAAAAGAGGGAGGCCCTCAAGGTGGTGGGGCGGCAGTCTGGCTTCACAGCGGAGCTCACAGGGTCCCATTCTGCGGTGCACGGTGTTACCGTGGGGCTGGGTTGACACTTAACATCTGATCAGTTTCAGATTCTGACAGGATGGTAACAGGAATGGTAGAAACCATGAACTTGGGGCTGGAGGTGGGGAGGAAGGGGAGGGAGGGCCCGGGGCTTGAGAACACGCACATTAAAGGGTGCAGCCACCTGGCTCCTATCCTGAGGCAGCACCACTTGCTGGTGCACTTCCCTGTCTCCTTGACCGTGACTTCCACCCTCAGGACAGTCTCCGCCTCCTCTTCACTGCTGCTAGGCCTTTCTGGTGGGAAATCTCCAAGAAGCCGCCTTCCCCTGCTCTCCTCCCTTCCTCCCTGGCAGCTACCTGTCCCTTTGAGGTACCCCTCATGGTGCCCCCTAAGTGTCTCCTTCCACAGGGCTCTGTCCTCATCGCCCTTCTCATGGCCATCTCTACTCCCAACTCTTTCAATACTCTGTCATGTGATTACTCTTTCCCCCCCCCCACACTTATCTGTTGGCAATTTTATAATGACTGAAAGAGCTCTGTAAGCCTTAAACACTATTTTTTTTGGTTTTTTTTCTTTTAAATCATGTATTGCTTTTGTGAGTTTAAACAAAATTTATTGGTTCTCATTTCCTAATACCTACTCACATTCTAAAGCAAACAAAAAACCCCAAACCCATCGACAGCAAGTGGATTGGGACTCCCAGAGAGCCAGGACTGAGCAGACTGCCCAGTAAGGCTTCCAAGGCTGTCCTCGAACAGAGGGAGCTCCTGGGGTGTCGTCCCTTATAAGCTGCATGATGTGTGCATCTCCGGCAGTTTACAGCCACAGAAACCCAATGGCAAGTCACAGAGTCAAAACCAATCCAACAGTGAGCTGAGGGAAGCTGTATTCGTAATTCATTCCTTGCAGTATAAATCCATGATTTCCAACCTCCACAGCCTCTGTTCAGTTTCCCTCCCTCCTCTGTGTCCCTTGACTTTGGTGGTCCACTGGAAGGTCTCCCAGACACTGAGACCCCTCAGGGGAGTGACTCACGGGACTGTAGATACGTGAGGTCAGTTCTGCAGACACTGGGGAGCACTGGACACTGTCAGCTGTGGTGTAGCTGGAAAGCGGGCATCCCAAAAAGAGAGCCAGTGCTGAGGTCGCGCGAGTTTCTCTAAGCCTCTAAGATGATGGGGCTT